ACAGTATAAATTCCAAGCAGAGTAGAACAACACTGCTTCATCAGAGGCCTCAGTGATGACGTTACCTAGCATGGTGACGAAATGTCTGAACGAAAGCAAGCCAGCTCAGCGAGCAACTCAACAACCTCACCCACAACCCAAGGCACAAATCTTTGCTAAAAACCTTAAACAGTGTTTTCATCTTAGGAATATTCATTTTACAAAATGTAGCTGAAGAAAATCCTGACTTATCAAGACAGCTAGCCAGCATCCTGATAACACTTCAGAACTGAAGGTATCAAGAGAAATAGAAGAACCGGGTATTATGCATACCTGCAGAGGCTACCCCAATCAGTAGATACTGTTGCAAAGGGGTTGCAGGGTAAGTGCGGAAAAGATGGTGATTAAGCAAAGAGAGCTTGATGGACTTTGGAAGTAATAATTCTGAGGCAGTAAGGGAAGCCTTTGCTTGAGAGATTTTCTGCTGTCGAATGAATACTTAAGAGTATAACCAAATAATATCGAACTGTGGAACACAGATGAATTGTGCAACACAGAAGACGAATTGCAGGGCATGTGTGTGGTCAAATGCTCAAAGGCTGCAGAAAAGTCATGGAAAAGGGGGATGAATAATGCACAGCCTGTGAAAGTGGCAACACTCAGCAAAGATAGAAGCCTAGTGCTTTTTTTTGTTTGACGAGCATGGCTGAATTCTTGAATTCCTGGTGAAGCTTGTGTACCCAATCATGATTGGTGTGGTGTGTTTTCTGCAGCTGGTAGCAAATGTCAAGAAAGCTGCTTAAAAGACCCTAATCTACCTTTACTCTTAAAAGGCAGTGTCCCACTTCACTTGACTCAACAACCAACTCACGGCTACAAGAGCGCATCAAATAGAGAATCTTGATAAATCAGTGATGGCAGATTAACCTGTTGATTTTCAGTTTCTAGTTTGAAGAAGAAAGTCAACATAAGTGGGGGAACCATAGGTTATTAGCAGCAATTGTAGCACACACCCATGCTAGTCATTACCAAGAAAGACAATGCGACATTCTCTGATTAGCAGTTTGCAGAAATCATAGAACAAAAATAATTTGCATACGTCGTACTATTTACCACAGAGTTGCCAGCTGGTGATTATACACTATTTCAGAAGTCTCCAAAAATATACAAATGAAGAAAGTCATACAGTGGAACCTCTGACACCAAAGTCCCCACTACCCAATCACAGTACTAAACATTGCAGTAAGGTTTCTGCCTTGCTACTCTAGTTTACTCAGTGTATCTATTTCGATTTGTTGTCTTTCTCACAACTTGCTGGTGTACTTTCCTTTGTAATGTCAGCAAAATGGCTACAATACATTCAGTCCCTTCATCCAAGGCATTAATACGGACTAAATATCCGAGGTCCTAGCACTGATCCCTGTAACACTCCAATAGTGACAGTTTGCCATCTGGAAAATGCCCCTTTAGCCCAATTCTGTTTCCTATCAGTTTACTCATCCTCTATCTGTGCCAATGCCACAAACTCTTATTGTCAGTAATCTTTTATGTGGCACCTTACCAAATGCCTTTTGGAAATCCAAATCTGCTGGATTTATTGGTTTCCCTTTATCGATTCTGCCTGTTACATCTCAAAGACCTCTAATGAAATGTGTCAAACACAATTTCAAAAATTATGGCAATAAATAAAGCAATCAATACATTTTATTTTTCATAAAAACATGTTGATTCTGCCTGATTGCATCGATTTTCTAAAAGCTCTGCTACTACTTTAATTGTGAATTCCAAACTTTTTGCAATGTTAGGTTAACTCCATTCACTGAACTTAATTAACTTAACTCATGAGGTTAATATGATTTCACTCCATATGATACAAAGAAATGGCAGAAGACACTGGATAGGGCAAAGGCTATGAGCCCTGACAACTTTCTGACAATAGAACTAAAAAATTATGCTCCAGAACTAGCTGCATCCCTAGTCAAGCTTCAACATTCAAATCCTGCCAAACATTTTGAAGGGAAATGGGCCTAGTGCAGGCAGGTGGGACTGGTTTAGCTGGGATTATGGTCAGCATGAACTGGTTGGATTGAAGGGTTTGTTTCTGTGCTGTATGACTGCATAACATTTGGAAAAATGCACACATATGACCCGTCCAATAAAGGAGGACAGATCCAACCAGGTCAACTAATGCCCCATCAGCTAAGGAAGGGGCTGTTGACAGTGCTACCAAGTGGTATTTGCAAAGGAATAACCTGCTCAGCTTGGGTTCTGTCAGTGCCACTCAGCTACTGACTTCATTACAGCCTTGCATCAGGCACTGACAAAGGACACTAACCGAACAGCTTAAAAGAGGAGAGGAGAGACTGACTCGCCTTGACACCAAAACAGCATTTGACCGAGTGAGGTATCAAGGAGAGCCAGCAGAACTGTTGTCAATGGGAATCAGGAGGAAAACTCTCCAGTGGTTGGAGTCATACATAGCACGAAGAAAAATTGCTGTGATTGTTGGAACACAATCATCTCAGCCACAGAACATTACTGGAGTTGCTCCATGTAGCCATTTTCTAAACAACCTGTTCAGGCATGTTATTACACACTTCTGGAGCAGGTGGGATGTGAACCCAGGCCTCTTAACTAGCGTCCAAGGTCCAAATATCTTCAGCTGCTTCAGTAATGCCTTCTATTGAATGTTTAATGTTATTTACATGACATTATTGGTCAAATTACTGGATGAGTAATCCAGAACCCCAGGCTAACATTCTAGGGAGGTGTGCTCAAATCCCATCATGGCAAATGGTGAAATTTCAATTCAATAAAAATCTGGAAATTAAAAAAAAAACCACAGGCTAGTGTACTGACGACCACATAGCAACTACTGACTGTTGTAAAATTGAGAACCGGTTTAATAATATCCTTTAGGGAAAGAAATCTGCTCTCCTTACCTGGTCTGGTCTATATGCAACTCCAGACCCACAGCAACACAGCCGACTTTTAACTTCCCTCTGGACAAATAAAAGTATGGGCAACAAATGCTAGCTGGGCTAGAGATGCATATAACTCATTAAGGACTGAAAATAATAAGATGAGAATTGGAGCTGTTAGCTGAAGATTACACAATGCTCTGCATCACTCCCGACTCCCCAGGTACTGAAGCAGTCCATGACCTCACATACCAAAACCTGTACAATATCCAAGCTTCGATTTAGTGGCAACTGGCATTTGTGCCATGCAAGAGCCAGGCAACAGCCAGTTCCAACAAAAAGAATCTTACCATCATGCCGTGACATTCAACGGCATTACCATCTCAAACTCCCACTATCAAAATTCTGTGGTTACCAGTGACTAGAAACTGAACTAGCCATATAAATACTATAGCAACAAGAGATGGTCAGAGGTTAGTAATTCTGCAGTGATTAACACGTTATGTTTCTCAGTGCCTGCTCATCTTCTACACGACAAGTCAGAAAATTGATGGAATATTCCCCATGTGCCTGGATGTGTGTAGTTCCATCAAAACTGAAGCAGCCGATCCAGAACAAAGCAGCCCACCTGACTGGTGCACCATCCACCACCTTAAACGTTCACTCCCTCCACCACTGATACATTGCAGATATTCACCAAGGCTCCTTTGATAGCATCTTCCAAATCTGTGAGCTGTACCTCGTAGACGCAGAAGGGGAGATGATGCACAAGATCATCACCACCTGTGAGTTCCGCTCCAAGCCATGTACAATACTGATCCAGACCTATACCAAAACTGTCACTGAATCAAAGTCCTAACAACATTGTGGGTATACCGACATCTCAAGGGCTGCAGTGGTTCAAAGAAGACAGCTCACTACCACCTTCGCCATCGACAGGCACTCATTTTATGACCCGTGGGTGCAGTGATTCAGAAACCAAGAGACAAGTCAGCCTTCAGTTTTTCTGTAGTGAAATCAGTATATTCCTCTCTCCCTTTGGTCCCTGGTTGTTCCACAATTAATGTGATACTTTTAAGGTACGTTACCACAAAAATACAAATTACTTGTTCAAAATTTCTGCCATATCATTGCTTCCCATTATCAATTTCCCAGCCTCACCCAAGAAGGAACCAATGTTTACTTTAGCTGCTCATTTCCTTTCTACGTGTTTGCAGAAGCTCTATGTATCCGGTTTTATGCTTCTTTACTAGTTTGTTTTTAATCTAATGTCTCCCTAATCGATGGCAGAATTTTAGAAACCAAAAACAATCTCCCCCCCGACCAATAATCTTTTTGGAGCATTGCCTTTCAATTTGATACTATCCCTAGTTCAGAAAAATTAATTAGAAATGCTGAAAATCTAAAAAGTACAAAACAAAAAAAAATGCTGCAGTTAAAAGGGAGAGAAAGGTAGGTTCATGCTTTAAGTACGGTGGATACTTTCTCTAGAGAATCTGACAGAGTGACTACACCCCACATTAAAATTCCAGACACAATAGGAGTTCTCTCTCTCATAAATAGAGATAAGACAGTGTGGAGCTGGAGGAACACAGCAAGCCAGGCAGCATCAGAGGAGCAGGAAAGTTGACGTTTCCCTTCTATTTTGAATTTGAAATGCCTGCAGCGAAAGCGCGTTTGTTTGGGAGGGAGAGATTTATTTTCCTCTGTTTTAGAGTCATACAGCATGCAAACAGACTGTGGTTTTTAAGAGAAAACGCAATTACCAGTTGTCCGAGTGAGATAAATCCAGCAACTTACTCACTGCAATACCACCAGGAACTGGGCTGGGCTAAGAGGGAGGGAGACCCCATTCTCCGCCGCCTGACTACACGGAGCTTGTCATTCCGTGTCCCAGGGATAAGGGAAGTGGGGGTGGTGACCTGCCGCCCAGGTCTCTGCCCCCGCCCGATGAGCCTCGGGGCCTGTCAAACCGGCCCGCACACTCCCCCCAACCCCAACCCCAACCCCAACCCTCCCATCCAGATCGGGCCCGGGCCTTGCCTACTCGGCTCAGCGACATACAGGCCCCGGCTGTAAACTCCTATCCCGGGCCTTTACCTGAACGGCGCGGCTAAGGAAAGTGCCGGCTCCAGCCGCCAGTTTCTTCACGTTGAAGTCCATGGCGTCTCCAACGATGTCAGGCTCGCCTCGAGCCACCTCCTACCCCGCCACACACAGACAGGGACAGACCCAGCCAATCACCGCCCTCCGCCCCGCTCCACCAATCACAGTTCGGATTCTCCCACCGCCCCGCCCCCAAAACAGCCTTGACCAATCACCTCCACCCTCCGCCGGAGAACCAATCGGTATTCCCCTTTCCGGCACAAGTGTTAACCAATTACCGAGATAACAAGGTGCAGAGCTGGATTAACCAATTAACGCCCCCCCTCCGCCGGAGAACCAATCGAAATTCGGTATCGTGCACACATGTTGACCAATCATCGCCCATTTCGCCGGAGAACCAATCGGTATTCCGATTCCAGCCCCAGTGTTAACCAATCACTGGTTAAACCAATCATCGTCTTGCGTCCTGCCCCAGCAATACGCTTTCACCACCCCTCCACCGGAAAACCAATCAACACTTGCAGCCCTGCCACGGGTTTAACCAATCATTATCCCCTCGGGTGGGAAGCCAATTACCGTCAGTGCCCTGCCCTAAGATTAGCCAATCGGCGTCTACTTCGATTGTCATCCAATACCTGTAATACGGCCCGAGTATTGACCAATAGACGTCCACCTCAAACGACGAACCAATAACCGACGGAATCCCACCCACAGGTTTACCCAATCATCACCGGTTCCATTAATCAACCAATCAACATCCTGGAACCCACCCTGGATTAACCAATCAATACGACCTGTTGTTAACGCGGTCATTTAGCAACACCCAACCGTAAGAAGAGCGAAATAAAAACCGAAGGAAGTGCAGAGGCTGAAAATCAGAGACAAAAATTACTGAAAAGGCTCACCAGGTCTGGCAGTATCTGTGGAGAGAAACACAACAACATAGAGCCTTTCATGCACAGCCAACAGATCATAGAGTGGATAAGGTTAATTTGTTTTAGAACGAGCTGGGATTGACACAATGAGCCAGATGGCATTCTTCAGCCCTCTAACCAGTTCATGGTTTCCACCATTATCTGTGCAACTGAATGGAAAAATCTTGCAAAATTACAGGGATTGGGCGGAGCAGTGGCACTAACTGAATACAATGGGCCAAAATGCCCTTCTGCGTTGTATACTACAGTACCTGTGTCTTGCCCAAATGCAGGTCCTTGGCTCTTCGATATCTTTCCGTCACTCTCAAAATACACAGGAGCAGTGGATAAATTCAATCCAAAAGCCCCTGAACATCCGAGGGAAAAGCAATCACCAGTGCTGCCATTGAGTGAAAAGATGTCCTGTAGATGGCAGAGATAGAATTGCTCCTTAAATCACAGCCTGTTCTCATCCTTGAAATAAAAGCAAACTACAGCAGATGCTGGAACTCAGTTGGATGGGTATGTTAGGGGCATTTTGTCCTTTTGCTGATAGGGATTATTGGCCCGGTCTGTCATTACTTGGACTGGACAAGGATGGTCATCTACCGAGACTTCAGTTTGCCAGGTGTGGAAGATGGTCCTGTCTTCCGGTAGTGTGATGGCAGTTGTAATTGTAAGGGCAAAGAAGGAGGTTTCAAAGGGGTCACAGGCATGTCAAAGGTTCCAAGAGTGAGGGCAGTTTCAAGGATTGGGGAGGAAGGAAGTTGCAAGATGGGTACAGGGAGAAGTTGCAAAATGGGGGAGGGGCTACAAGAGAACTGAATAGTCTGTGAGCGGAGAGAGAGAGCGACTGTGAGGGAAGACGGAGGCTGTGACTGGAGAAGGAAGGAGATTGTGAGAGAGAGGGAGGCTGTGAGGGAAGCCGTGAGGTATGCGAAGAATGTGAACGTACTATCGCCAAGTTTGTGGATGACTCTCAAGTATGTGGGAGGGAAGTAGTAAGGATGACACAAAGAGTCGATAGAGGGATATGGGCAGGTTGCATGAGTGGGCAAAAACATGGCAAATGAAATAAACGTTGTGAGATTATGCAGTTTGACAGGAAAAAAAGAAGAGACAAATTTTAGGAAAATGGAGAAAGGCAGCAGAAAACTGCAGAACAGACAGATTTGATGACTTTTGTGCATGATCCACAAAAAGCTGGTGTCCAAGTTCAGCAGGTAACGGGGAAGGCAAATGGAATGTTGACATTTATTTTAAAGATAATGGAGTATAAAAAGAGGGAGATTTTGTTAAAACAATGTAAGACCACATCTTTTTAGTCCCCTTATCTAAAGAAACCTTGTTGAAACATAGAAGATTGTTAGGGATTTTAGCAGGGTTGATGCTAAAACATTGTTTGCAGAATCCAGGATTGGAAGCATAATTTCAGAGTAGGGGGTTGCCTGCTTAGGACAAAGATGTGTCTGTAGAATTCCTCACTGCAGAGAGATTAGAGGCTGGGTTGGTAAGTATATTCAAGGCTGAGATAGACATTTTTAACCTGTAAAGGGAATCAAGGTTATAGGGAAAATGCAGGAAAGTAGAATCGAGGATTATTAATTCAGTCATAATCTCATTGAATGACACAGCAGATCTGATGGGCTGAATGGCCTACTTCTCCAGCATCTGGTCTTCTGGTCGAATTTGATTTGAGAAAATGGTAGTGAGCTACTTTTTGATCTATTGTAGTCCACAGAGGACAGGTGCACCCACAGTGCTGTTTGGAACAGGGATCCTGGATTTTGACCCAGAGACAGAGATCAAAGGGATCAAAGGTTATGGGGAGAAGGCAGAAGATTGGTGTTCAGAAACGTATCAGCCATGGTCGAATGTTGGAGCAGACTCAAAGGGCCAATTGGCCTAATTCTGCTCATATACCTTATGGCTTATGGACAGTGAAGGAATGGTGATTAGTTTGAAGTCCAGATGGTGTGTGGCTTGGAGGGAATCTTGCAGATTCTCATGATCCCATGCATCTGCTGCTTTTGTCCTTCCAGGTTTGGAAGGTGGTCTCTAAAGAGCCTTTGTGAGTTGTTGCTGTGCATCTTGCAAACACTGTTGTCACTTTGCATTGGTGGTGAAGGGAGTGAATTTTGATGGTGTTACAAAATCAAAGTTGCTGGAAAAGCTCAGCAGGTCTGGCAGCATCTGTGGAGGAGCAAACAGAGTTAACGTTTCGGGTCCGGTGACCCTTCCTCAGAACTGATGGTGGCTGGGAAAACGTCGGTTTATATGCAGAAAATAGGGAGGTGGGTGGGGAGATGGTGTTAGATGGGGTGACAATCAAGTTGGCTAACTGTATAATATAGTAAAACAGCCCAACGTGCTTCATCAGAATAATAATGAAGCAGAATTTGACACTGAACCACATAAAGAAATGGTAGGTCCTATGACTGTAGCTTGATTAAAGTGGTAGTTTTTAACAGGTGTCTTGCAGGAGAACTAACAGCAAACTGAAAATATATGTCTACTGCCTTGTGCTTTCAGCATCCTCCTTTACAGTCTTGAAGTATGGACAACTTACACAAACCAAGAAAAGCTTCAGACAGTTGGCAGGGAGAGAAATGGAGTTGGTGATCTGGAAATTGAATTTGAAACTTACAATTTTGCCCCACCAGAAACTCTGCCAATTGCCACAAAACATAAACACACACTTATATATTTATTTTTCAAAAAACATTTACAAAGATAAATTAATCCGTTGAAAACATTTGCTTTATTTTATAAGGGCAAAAACAAATGGGAAAATTATTATCCGAAACGGGAAGCACATTTGTAGGAAGTGGGTTTGTAGGTGCAGCATATAATACAAAAGGCAAATTGAATCCTGGAATTTATTGCGAAAGGACTGGATTATAAGAGGAATGAAATGTTGTTACAATTATACAAGGCATTGGTGAGACCACACCTGGAGTATTGTGTCCAGTTTTGGTCTTCTTACTTAACAAAGGATGTGGTGGCACTGGAGGCAGTTCAGAGGAGGTTCACTAGGTAGATTCCAGCATGAAAGGGCTGTCGTATGAGGAGTGGTTGAATAACTTGGGCTTGTACTTAACTGAAATTCAGAAGGATGAAGGGTATCTGATGGACGTATGTAACATGCTATAGGCAATTGATAAGCTGCACTTTGAACAGATATTCCCCTGTGTGGGACAGTCTGGAACAAGAAATCACAGATATACATTGAGGGGAGGTAGGTTCAAAACTGAGATGAGGAGAAACTACTTCTCTCAGAGGGTTGTGAATCTGTGGCACTTACTGCCACAGGGTACAATGGTGGCAGAATCAATCAACAGATTCAAGAAAGAAGTAGATATGTTTCTGATGAAAAGTGGGATAAAGGGCTATGGGGAGCAGGCAGGAAAGTGGGATTGGGACCAGGATAAGATCAGCCATGATCATGTTACATGGTGGAACAGGCTTAAAGGGCTGAATTGCCTACTCTTGCTTCTAATTCCTATGTTCATGTTCCCAGGCTATGACCATCACTAACAAGAAACAATCTAACCACCAACCCTTGACGTTCAAGGTGTTACCATCACTGAATCCACCACTATTAACATCCTGGGAGTTATCATTGACCAGAAACTCAACTGGACTCATCACATAGAGGAATGGCTACGAGAGCAGGTCAGAGGCTAGGAATACTGCGGCATGTCACTCACCTCCTGACTCCCCAAAGCCTGTCCACCATCTACAAGGCACAAGACAGGAGTGTGATGGAATACTTCCCACTTGCCTGGATGAGTACAGCCCCAACAACACTAGGAAGCTTGACACCATCCAGGACAAAGTAACCCATTTGATTGGCAATGCATCCTCTTCCTCCACCACCGACGCTCAGTAGCAGGAGCGTGTACTATCTACAAGATGAACTGTAGAAATTCACCAAAGACCCTCAGACAACACCTTTGAAACCCATGACCACTTCCGTCTAGAAGGACAAGGGCAGCAGATACATGGGAACACCACCACCTTTAAGTTCCCCTCCAAGTCACTCACCATCCTGACTTGGAATATCGCCGTTCCTTCACTGTTGCTGGGTCAAAATCCTGGAATTCCCACCCTAATGGCATTGTGGGTCAACTCACAGCAGGAGGACTGCAGCGGTTCAAGAAGGCAGCTCACCACCACCTTTTCAAGGGCATCTAGGGACGGGAAATAAATGCTGGCCAGCCAGCAAC